GCCCATAGCATAGTGGTAGTATTTCCATCGCACACCTTCAAGCACAGGGTTGGTATCGGGCAGCGGCTTCAGCTGGAATTCGGGAGGTACGGGGAAGTCATATTTCGCCAGGATTTCTGCCGCCTGCTTCTTCTTTTCTGGGTATCGCTCCCACTCGATGTATCCTTTCCACCCTTCGCGCTCTTCTGGGAAATTCGGCTCTTCGGCTGTCAAGAGCTCGAAAGGCTTTGCGTTGGGTTCAGCGGGCGCCATGGTCGGGGTGTGGAGTTGGGGAAGTTTGATCTAGCATGAGGCTCGGGATGCATCCCCCTACAAATGCGCGCGACTGTCGCATTGTGGAGTGGACACGCCAGCCCATGTGCGTTATGTCATGACCTCAAGGTGACTGATACTTAATCATGGGCTATACTGATCTGCCATAACGTGTACTGCAGGCAACCCCTGTACATCGTCGTGCCAGCACGTGGTCTACCTGGATCCACGAATGAAAATGCCGCAAGCTCCGCAAAAGCGTTAGGAAGAGATACACCACTGCGTCATCATGATGAACGTTGAAGAGCTGTCACACATCCTGGGACGGTACAACGCGCCTAGAACCAATAATCGTTAAGCCCGAAATCCGAGAATGGGCAGGGCAAATGCCGGAGAAAAGATGGAAACGGTGCGACCCGCATGCGACTGATGAGTAAGAATGCTAAAGTCTTGAGAATGCTTCTTATTAGTAGTCATTGCTTACAGACATGCTTGGCGTAGTACTCGTGAACCAGGCCAGTTCTAGTCGGTGATGCGGAGGTGATGACATGCAGGCCGCATACGATAAGTTTGAAGAGGCTCGCTTGTATCGCCGACAATTTTCGGGAGGGCCAGCGCGAATTTTCACCCCAGGGGTCAGGCATACTGCAGACAAAACCGGAAAGCAGCGCGATGACTATCGTTGTTGCAGAGCAAGGGGTGGCCAGAGTTGGCATGCACGCATGGAAATGCGCGGCAGTTGCTTCACAGGTTCTGCACGTGTCGCCTCGGCAAGTTGCATGGCACGCTAACCTGAAATGGCTTGGCCCGCTGAGGCCCGCCGTCATCTCACCGCAGAACACCATGATCTCAGCATCTACACATCCGTCAGGCTCCGCACGTCTGCATGCGATATGGATGATCAACAAAGAAGCCGCAACGGAATCTCTCGAAGTTTTAGCGTAAATCACCAAGATATCACTCAGCTTTCGCAATGGCGGACGCGGAGCTAGTAGCGCAATGGAGTGCACCCCTATAGAATTGCTGCTACCTCAGCCGTGGGCATTACGCCGCCTCATTCCAACCTCGGAATAGGTTTCAGACCCGTCTATGCCAATGCAAAAAATAGGTCAAAGCCAAGCACCTGCGTGCTAGAGGAGCGGATCATCTGCTACTCGTTCTCACGCGCTCCACGTCCTTATTATCTGATTGAAGCAGGCTCATCGAATAGCGTCGCAGTTCGCGTCCGTTCCGAGGAAGGATTATGACACGGCAAACATCGAAGAAATACGATTCGACATGCCATCGGAAGATGAGGACTTTCCCCACGTGGCGTCGCCATCAAGGGCCGCCCTTACAAACACGGCCCGCGTCCTTCGGTTCCAGACTTCGATATCATTGACTGGCCGAAATGCAACCTCTGAGACAACGCGCGATATGGAGTAGCATCACATACGTTCAGCTGAATCTCAAATGAGCACTATGACCTGGGCCGCGGGTTCGAACAGGTGGAATGTGTTCAGTCTGAACTGTACGAGTAAAAGCTATGAAACACAAGATCAAGGGATCGCCCAATACAGTGAAGGAGCCGTATCAGCTAAACTCTAGATGGAGATTCGTAACTCGCATCTGGTGAACGGAAGGACCATGTATGCACATCTCCGTGAGGACATCTGGACGATCTGGCCAATCGCAATTTTTGATCTGGACTTCCACGCCGCATAAATGCAGATATGGTTCATACTGGGTAAAAGGACGGCGACATATGGCTTGGAGGATGGCAAGCGCGGGTTACGTGTCGGACCAGAGAGACTATGGGAGGCACACCATCATCAATGGGGGAAGCCCAGTGCACCCGGCAATAGACTGCTACATCTCGGCTTGCTCAACACGTCTTAAATGGTGGCATTCATCGGTCACCCTCAACCCTAGTCTTCGCCCCCGCATCTTCACCTCTCATCTTCACGTTTTGTTGTCTATACCTTTAGAGCAGCAGTGGTCAATATGGTAGCAAATGCCCAGAGCGCGCTGTTACAGAAAGCTAGAGACTCTGCCTCTTTCGACACGTTCCAGCTTACATGCATACTCTGGGGAAGGTAAGCACAACCTGTGATCCGAGGTAACATCCTCGCTGACCCATCTGCAGTGAGAAAGTTGTCAAGGAGCGACGGGCCGCCTTCAAGCGAGTCGAGAAAGCAATCGGCATCGACGACAATGCAAAGCTCCCTCGATGCTACGCGCAGACCTCACGAGAGGATCTATTTGAACAAGGTCTTGAGATGGGAAAAGCGTGTCTCGATGATATGCTCAAGCATGACCATGAGCACTTCGTGTGGATTACGCCGCGATACAACCTCATGAACGCCAGGTATGTTGAGGTAGTCAGGAGAGTCTTCCACGACTGACGAACTGACTTCCTATAGCCCCTTCGGCCACAAAGCCATCCTCTTCGAGCCCGGGATGGAGCACAACGGTACAGAGGAACAAAAGGCAAAGTGGCTTCCGCTCGCTCGATCCGGCAAGATACTTGGCACATACGCACAAACCGAGCTTGGTCATGGTTCATTCGTGCGAGGTATCGAAACGACCGCCACTTTCGACCCCGATCGCGATGAGTTCGTCGTTCACTCCCCAACAATCTCATCGACAAAGTTTTGGCCTGCGGGGCTAGGCTTCTCAACCACACACGGCACAGTCATGGCGAGACTCATTGTTGGCGATCAGGACCACGGCCCACATATCTTCCTTGTGCAACTCCGATCCGTCGAGGACGGCACACCAATGCCTGGTGTGAAGATGGGCGATGTCGGCTTGAAGCTTGGGTAAGTAATGACATCGGAGAAGACGTCAAGAGTTCAATCACTCACCAAGACCCAGCTATAACGAAGCTGACAATGGCTTCGCCTCCTTCGACAACGTGCGCATCTCTCGATCGCAGATGCTCATGGCTCACAGCCAGCTCACATCCGATGGCACATTCACCAAAGATCCCCTCCGCGCTAAGCTTTCGTACTCCGTCATGTTGCTCGTCCGCGGCAGGATGCCCAGTGTCTTCACGGTTCAGCTAGCCCAAGCTTCGACGATCGCGACACGATACTCTGTTGTACGACAACAAGGCCTCGGGCCTGCTGATGCGTTTGCCACTGAAGGAAGCATCTTGCACTACAAGCATCAGCACTTCCGTCTTTTGAGCTTGATCGCCAAGACGTACGCCATGTTCTTTGGCTCTCGGGTCTGCGACGAACAGTATAACAAGCTCCGGGAGATGCAGAGCAAGAACGATCACTCGCTTCTGCCAGCTGTTCACGCATTGACTGCTGGAATGAAGGCGTATGTTACGTTTGAGGCTGCCGATGGTGCCGAAGACGCGCGTAAGCTGTGCGGCGGTCATGGCTACATGTCTATCTCAGGCCTACCAGACATTGTCGGTGCGTTGGTCGGTGGCGCGACATTCGAAGGCGAGAACTACGTCCTCTGGCAACAACTCGGGCGACACCTTCTCAAGCAACTTGACCGCCTACAAGATGGCGAGCCAATCGAGCCCCACGTCCAGTACCTGACTGATGTCGAAGATCCCAACCTCCCTTGTAGCGCATCCGCAACGCAGTTTCTCGATCCCAAAGTACAACTCGCCATCTATCGCGACCGTGCACACCGCATGGTCGTGAAAGCGCATTCGGCAATTCGCGCATCGACCAAGTTGCCAGCAGATGCATGGAACGAGCATATGATGCTGCTCATCTCCGCATCGCGGGCCCACATTGAATACTTCATTCTGAAGTCATTCACCGACTTCATCTCGAGCCTTTCTGATTCTACATGCAACTACCTACGCATCGTCTTGAACCGTATGCGCTCCCTCTACGCACTATCAATGATCATAAACCCACGTACCGTCGACGCAGTATCCTTTATCGAAACAGCCGACGAGCGTTCTCCGTATTTCACTTCGGGACAGCTCGACACTATCCGGCATCTTGTCAATGATCTGCTTGATCAACTCCTTCCCGAGGCTGTCGCCCTGACGGATGCATGGGACTTTACCGATGCCAGTCTCTGTAGTGCGCTGGGTATGTACGACGGGAATGTATACGAGAACATTATGCGTTGGGTCGAGCAGTTGCCCATTAACCAGAAGGCGTGGCAGAATGGTGGGGTACAGCAGGGGTGGAAGAAGTGGGTAAATCCGATCCTGAGAAGGGAGGCGAAGTTGTAGGACGATGTAGCCTGGATGTGTGTTTTTATATCGTCGCGATAGTATGAGCGTCATGAGGACAGCAGTGTTGGATATTCTGAATTGAGATGTTTTGTATTTGCAAGACAGCTACTGCAATACTTTTGCGTGCTCTTTATATAACACAATGCAAGAATCCTAGCGAGCTTGGTACCAATGTAAACTGGTAGACCTCCACTCATATGTGACGCGATCTCATTGCTCTTCAGCACAAGCTGCTAGCTAGGAGTATTTACCGACGTTTCTGTTCAGCCTATGGCTTGCGTTCAACCAGATCTCTGTCTGTGAGCATCTTTGTCAACTGGCTGATCCAAATCGGCGCATTCAGCTTTTCAACCGTGACTTCGAACACGTGATAGCCCTTCACGTTGACCATAACTCTCTTTCCCCCATTGATGAGTTCCTCCAGGACAGGGAAGACCATTTCAAGCATCGTCACAAGCCCTATCACTTGCTGTCTTCTCAGCGTTGGTGAGAACTTTTGTGTACATTGGAATTGTACGACGACCCGCAAATCCGCTCTTAGTGATAGCAGTCACCGCAGGTTAGCGGCAATCTGGGTGATGTTGTCATACACATCCCCGGTATATTCGAGGCGAATATAGATGTGCTTTACGTGCTGGCGTACATCGATGTCCAGACCCCATCTGTCGTGGAGGAGGTAGTCCAAGGCAGCTGAAGCGCGTTTGGAGTTGCTACCACGCCCTAAGGGGAAGCCGAGGACGATGAATGTCGACACCTCGTACCACATTTCGCTAACCTCTTTCAAGGTGTCGAGCGGGGTGTATCCATGCACGAAGAGATGATCGCAACCGTTCTGCCGTAGGGAGTCAAGCCATTGAACGTTGCGATCACGGCGCCCGACGATGTAAGTCTCCCGCGGCAGTAGATGGGCGTACACCATGTCTCGCAGTTCTCGTGGTAGTTTGCTTTGGAACAGCGTGGCTAGTGTCATGCATTCTGCCTTTGCGTAGGTCGCGATGTACGTGTTGAGTTCATCGTCGAGCTTTTCTGCTGCTTTACCGATCCGAAGTCCTTCGTGCTTTTTGGTGTTGAGAGCTTCCTCGGGGGGATAGGGTAAAGTTATCGGGTCGAAGAGTAGAGTGCAAACGTGGCGCGTCAGTGCTACTTTTCGCAGAGAGCTATTCAATCAGTGAATGCCTGTCAGTTGCGATAATGTTTACTTACCGGTGGACCAAATCTCTGTCCATGGTCGAGCTCCCAAAGGTATCGCAATGTGGGGACGGTACGTAAGTGGGAGAGTCTCGGTACGACTGAGATAATGGAGAACGTGACACTAGCTCTCGTTTGTTATTGTTTCGATTTCTCCAGGCTCCAGCAGCAGCACGTGATCGACCGGGTAGGCGCACGCGAAACGTTCCACAACAAGCTAGCACCTCTGCTTATAACTCCCGCATTTTATACGACTCATACGCGAGGAGACACTCTACGAAAGAGAGAAGTATCGCATCTCCAAGAACCTCTGCTTATACGACTCAGACCTTCCGAGTCACATTCTCGCAATGACCAATCTCCTTCATAGAATCTCTTCATGCTCATGAGCCTTGCATGTATCTCCTTCCAGCGTCACCGATCCAGTGCTTCGTCTCCCGAGTGTGGAACAAGGATGCGCTCAGCTCTGTTCGTCAACGCGGTGAAGAAGCTCACCATTTTGCACTTGGGAGCAGAAGATAAGCACTGCACGCCATGGCCTTTTTTGTTGTTGAGAGACTACCGCGCCTTGAAATTCGTCAGATGTGTCTTCTATACTACACCGAAGAGCTGCTCGTTGTCTTTTGACGGGCGTGTTGTCAGAGCACATTACCCTTATATGCAGCAATTGTCGTCTTTGCTCTCCCGTCACCAATGGACAACGATGATGTATGCGGCTAATGACAATGAGATGTGAGCAACAGGTAATATGATGAATGTGAATTGATCCTAAACGCCGTCTCCTAGCCCGTACAAGGGCAATGGGTATCTATGCAGGCCGTTGGTACACAGAATAAACTACATTTGCAACCAGAAAAACGCCACCTTCCCCCTCATTCCCTGTTCACTACAACCACAGTACGCCACGAATGTCAGCGCTCGAAGACTGGTAAGGAAACAGCTCCGCGACATTCTCTGGCGCATCTTTCCCATCTAGGCAATCCTCAACCACACGCACAATGCTTTCAAAATCAGACAAGACGCGTTTCGCATACGGCTGACTAAAGGCCAGGTCATATAGCATGCCCTTAGCGCGGTGGAAGAACTCGATGTGGGTCTCGGTGTGGGGATGTGTACTTCCAGCAAAGTGGCGGACGAGAAGAGAGCAAAATACCAGAAGTGCATTCGACAAGGACGTTATCATGCGATGCCGGAGGCTGAATGGCTGACGAACTTCCCGTGTAAAGAATGTCGAATGGGTGAGGCTGAAGCCGGCAAGTTGGCGGAGGTGTTCAGCGTTATTATCGTCGTATTGCAGAGAGATTATGACGGAACGTAGCCCCCAAAGAACGAAGTCTCTCTTCTTCTGCTTGATGAACATCTTCAGCGTTGGGTCACCTGCCTCATCCCGCTGAACGTATGATGGCATCTCCAGTTCTGGTAAGTCGTGGTCGAGAAAGTAGGTGATCTGCCTATCAATGATGTCCTGGGTCGTGCTATCGAGACTCCGGCCGTCGACAGCGTTGCTGGCGTAACGCGCCCAGAGAATGACGTAGTGGATGTAGTGGTCGATGAAAGGTCTGGGGTCATCACCATCCTCGGTTTTGTACAGGTTTGCCTGTAAAACGTAAGCCCGAGGAAGCGGGAGGAGGTCGACACGTTAATCTAGGACAGAATTGAACACCCTGTAGGCGAAATCGACGTCAAGACACCCACTTTACATGTTTTCATCTTGATGTAGTCTTCAGACCTGTTCAGGGTGGGGAAGAGTAGGAGTTGGGGCTTTACTTACCCTTTGTGACAGATCCACAGGTGCCTCGACTTGAATGTCGGTTTCGTGGATTCTATATGGTCTTCCACACGTCAACGAGATAAATCGGTCTTGGACAAAGACATTCCAGAACGTGCAGATGCGCTCATATGCTTGAACAGTCGTGATATTTGTCCACGTAGATTGCCGATGTAAGGAGGACTGGAGAGCGAGTGTTGCAGCGGCACCGATGGTGTTGTAAGCTGGACCGGGCATGTCTGCGTATTGGTAGTAGATGGCCTACAACTGTTAGTCTATGCGAATCAAGCTCGGAGCTTTTGAACACATACCTGGAATAGTACGCACTGTATCAGCGTCAAATCGCCGCTTCCGCTCAGTAGCGACCTCTTGTCGACGAGCTCGTCAGCCATCTCAAGCCAGCGCCAGCCCTTAGGCTTCCCAGTGTCGATGGGTGCGATATTGAGGAGTACGTCGCAGCACGCGAAGATGGTGTAGTTCAGCGCGAGAAACTCGCGATCTTCTGATGGTATCGTCGTGCTTGCTAGCATGTGTTGGCTGCGGTTGCGGAACTCGGGTTCATCTATGCACGGATGAGACAGGTGAATGTCGGTGAAGAAGGAGGCTAGGTACTGTTGGTAGTCGGCGGGACTAGGAAAGGGTAGCTTCCTGTTGCCGACTTGTACGAGGTGCGATTGGTCGCCGTTGATAGGGGAACCAGCGCCTGGGGGAACGGGTGTCGCTGGGTCTGCCGACTCTTGTGAGAAGAGCGAGGGTTGTCCCATGAAGGCAAGAGCTGGGTTGATTGGATCCAGCGGCGGGACAGACAAGGCAGCGTCACCCCCGAAAGCATCGCTGCCGTTCTCCTCGCGCTCCACACTGCCCATTGGCGTCATGGTCAGGCCTCGGTCGCGCATGAGAGCCTCCATCATAGCCTCAATTCGGGCCATGCGCGCTTCCATTGTCATGCCGCGTGTGCTGGCATCGCTCGCCCTCCGCTCGGTGCCGTTTTCCGACGGCATTAAGCTCCTTCGTGGCACGTTGTGGCTGTTGCCGTTGGCGCTGGTATTTGAGGCTTGTGTATGGAGGGCAGGCGTGGGTCGACTGAGGTTCTGCAGGGCTTCGGCGGCCGTCTGGTCTTCAGAAAAGAAGCATCGCTTGCCGTTGTCCATGCACCGCTGGCATGGGTTTTCGCCGGAACACTGCTGACGTCAGTTGTTGACTCTCATGGTTGTTGTTGGGAGAGTTCGTAGATGCGGAAGCGACGCTGTCGCATGAGGAAGTCGCGAAGCAGTCACGAGGGAAGTGACCGAGGCATCCATTGTACAAAAGAGCGTACATACCTTGAGCTTGGAGCGCCTGCATGATACACCTGCACAATCTGTCAGCCGGCTGATGGCATAACCTCGTCGTCCTGTCGCGCGAGCTGTGTCGAACCACTACGGAACCATCGGAATGCCGCATAGGAAGCTCGAGATGCGCCGAACCAGAGCGAGTGTCGCAACTTACATGCTTTGGGCGCGTACTTTTGCCGGACCTTTTTGCGCTTGGGAGACGACGACCTCCTCTCGACGTCCATGTGCTCCATGGGCGAAGGATGGCTGTTCATGGCGCGATGGAGTTGTTGGAAGAAGGATGGCGCTCCCTCAAGCTACTTCGGAACGCGACCGGGATCCGGGCCTTTAGCGCGTCGACAGCTTCCGTCCTCCTACAGCCAACGGCACCGCTTTCATTTTTCCATCCATCACAGACGTCGTCAAAAAGATGGAGCGTCCAATGCAGCAAATTTGGGCTACTGGAGCCGACTTTGTCCCGCTGAAAGCTTTGCAGGATGTTATCGTGGGAGCGAGATGTACGGTAGGGCGCTCACAAGTCTCTGACATGTGATCCGCACATCAACTTGAGGCTGACACCCATTCCTCGTCACCAACCGCATCACCACAGAGCACGTCGACATTCCACGGCCGCTACTCAGCGGAAGTAAAGATTCGTTGAAAATAGGAAGTTATCAACTATCACTGCTGTACACTACGAGTGGCAGCGAACTGTGACACCCTCACAGCCGTCTATCTCGCTCGTAGCCGTAGTTGACGTATGGATTATCTGCTTCTGGACCGCGGTAGGTCTCGAGAATGGATTAACAATACAATCGAGAAAGAGAACTATCAAAAAAACAAGAAAGGCAAAACTCGCTCGCGTGCTGGAAATGCATGCCGAGATACCCTCGGTACTGTTGAGTGTAGAAGTGATGAATTGAAACTATAGAAGGTTCTGAGTATATACTCTAACGCTAGCCTAGGAGCACCTACTCTAGCATGTAATTACTCCTTTAATAGTCCTCCTTAAGAACTAATAGTGTAGTTAATGTTAATATAAAACTATTATCTCCTTTATGCTCTCTAATAGAGGTAGCAGTAATCTCTTTATGTAAATATTAGTAACGTTAGATGTAGAGCTAACATACTTAATCTTAAAATTCTCTTTAAGATACTTCTCTCTTACAAAGTAGTAGTAAATAGTAATATATTTTAAGCGTACAGAGATCTGTTAGTCCTTCGCTAAGATAATAGCAGCTTAATTATTACTAGTAAGAATAAACTTAAAGCTTAGTAAAGATCTAAAGAGCTCTAAGAGTGCATAATAAGTCTAAACTAGGTAAGTAGTAGTATAGGAACATGCTATATACTTAGCTTTATAAGTAGATTTAGTAATAGACACTTAACGCTTAGAAGACTATAAGATTGTACTTCTATTAATCTAGAGAATATACCTATAGAAAGATTTAGTGTTGTTAGAGTCTAATCTCTAAGAGGCGTTGTAGTAGATCTTAACTTTTTAAATTACTAGTATAGAGTTTAGGCGTATAAAGAAGAGAACGTAATTCTTAGAATATTAGATATACTGTAATAACTAGAGTGTAATGCAATAGTGTAAATCTATAGGGTTAGAATTGTATGTTCCTAGTAATACATTTGTGTAAGCTAGGTTAGGCCTAGTACTAATAATAAGGTAGTTACTAGATTCTGTAAGTTGCTAGTAGAATTAGCAACGCTTCTTATTAATTAGGTTAATAGTAGGGTTGGCTAAAGAGCAAGAGGGAATAAAATTTAGATTAAGAGAGGTTTTCTATCTATTAGAACTTAACATCTTAAAGCGCTAAAGAACCTTACAGGCATATAAGAGTTAGCTAAGTATAATTCTGTTATTATACTAGTTAATTTTAATTCCTAAAAGGTAGCGAGCAACCCTAAGATCCTTACATTTAAACTTAGTAGTAATAATAGATTTAAA